TGTTCATTGATTGACACTTTGATGATGACTCCTGACATCAGAATGATGAAGATGGTTGAATGTGTGCTGCTTTGTTGTCATGAATTACATTAAAAGCACACTTACACTTCCTCAGACCTGGTCTCAACCATCGGACTCCAGCAGGCTCCACCCTGAAAGGAGGAGCAGTTTAGACACCAGGACTGATCATTGTATCCAAGCCAACAGTCATAACTGTCTCCTTTCTTTCTGATTCTTCTGTAACTCACTGATATATCACATATCAGAATTTTTTTTATCTGAGTGTTTTCTTTTTTGGACTTTCTTGGTGACTGTGCATCACGGTATGACCATCTCCTTTTACTTTGTGATTTTAATATTCATGTCGTTTGCCCAGAGAAGCCCCTGGTAAGGACTTCATGGACTTAGTGAACTCTTTTAATTTCTTGTTCAGTCTGTTAAGGGCACCACTCAAGAACAAGGTCACACATTGGACTTGGTGATATCATATGGATTCTCTTTCTGTAACTTACATGTCAAGGATGCTGTTTACTTTCATTTTATTCGATTGGACTCCTGCTTGATTGTCTGATGTTAAATCATGGATTTATTCAGTCCCAATCTTTCCTCTCTTACCCCAGTTGTTGACTTTGCTGTTCTGACTCCTCACCTGAAGATCTCGGTTACTAATCTTGGGGTAAAAATTTACACTGCTATTTGATTTGATGGCCACGGGGTGGTGATATCTTCATTCTATCACCTCAGACATCTGTCGAAGGTTGAGTTTTTTCTTTACAGGCATGACTTCGAAACTGTCAACCATGCTTTTATAACATTACGCTTGGATTACTGCAACTCCCTTTTAATGGGGGTTGGCCAGGGCACTCGGTCACACCTGCAACTGTTGCGGCACGGTTTTTAAAAGAAAATTGGTGGTAAACTGGTAAAGAAAATCTGAGCATATTACTCCAGTTCTGGCCTCCTTACACTGGCTTCCAATTGAATTTAGGATCTATTTTAAAATTCTTTTCCTGTTTTTTAAATCCGTAAATTGTCTGGCACCTGTATATTTGTGCGATCTGCTGATGCGCTATATCCCACCTCGCTCACTCCGGTCAGCTTAGAAGCTGTTGCTCTCATGGCTAAACCTTAGAGGAGACCAAGCTTTCTCTATTGTGGACCCCGAATCTTTGGAACGATCCTCCTCTTCACATTAAGCAGTCTACATCAGTGGTGGTTTTTAAATCCAGATTAAAAACTCAACTTTATTGCCTGGCCTTTGATTTAGTGGGTCACTGACACTGTTATTTTATTGTTATTTATTTATTGTATTTATTATTCTTATTGTATTTATTATATTTCTGCTGTACAGCACTTTGGTCAGCCATGTGCTGTTTTTCTTTAAAGTGTTATATAAATAAATTATGGTATGGTATGTGTTAGGGTGAATTGTTAAATGTTTGTCATTTTTGTGTTTGCCGTTTGTAAATATGCAGCACACATGTGAGGGAAAGATCCAGTTGCATTAGAAAATGTTTTTGCAGATAACATCGCAAAAGAGGCAGCTTTAGGTAAACATGGTGTTAACATTTTAGCAGTACAACATCAGCAGACATGTAGGGCCAGTCCCCTACAGCAGAAAAACAGTTGTGGCTCACTAAAGGAGCGAGCTTACAGGTTGGTGTTTATTATCTGTGTGATAAACCAATACTGCCTAATAATTTGTACAAGACTGCTGCTATTTTGAGCCATGGGCTTTGCAATGTCTCCACAGGGGGGATGATGGCAGCAGTAGTTTATACTCACTCTAGGATTAGTTTATACTCTAGGATTATTAAATACTTTAAAAAAAAATTGCATTTGCAGGCAGAGAGAACTAATAGAACAGTAAAGTTAAGACTTAGGAAGACAGGCAGGACATGGTTAGACTGTAGAGAAATTAATTAAGATATACATGAGGATTCCTCCAACAGAGAATGGTCTGACTCTTTGAGATTATATATGTTAGAGCATTTAGAGTTCTAGTCTTCTGTAGTGATGATAGAAGAGCAGAAGAGAGAGCATATTAGCAGATTAGATGCTTGAAATGTTTAAAAGTAAAGTAGTCATGAGAACAAATGATCTGCCAGATGATTCTGTTTCTCCGCAGGAGCAGAGTCTGAAGTCTGGAGATTGGATGTTGATAAGGCCATGGAGAGGAAGTGCTGGTCCAGTCCGCGGTGGAAGGTTCCTATCGGGTGCTGCGGACAACAACCACAGCAGTGAAGGTACGTGTTGTAAACTATTGTTTATTGTGTGAACGTTGCCAATAAAAGGGAGCGAGAGGGGGCAGTCGGAGAGGTCAATTTGTGATGAACTTAGATACCGACAAGGCCTCCCTTGCAAGTAAAAAGATCGATCGCTGTTGCCTTGTCTTTCTTTCATGGGAATAAGTTCTGGGATCAGCGGGGTCTGAGTTTAGACCCAACAGAATGGTTTAAGTGCAGAGAAGCATCTCCCTCTATTTGTCAGCTTCTTCCACAGCTCTGATTGTAAAATAATGATTTTTTCTTTTCTTTATTTTTTCTTTATTTTGATTAAGCTAAGCTAACAGTTTTCACTGTTTATTTTTATTCGGTGCTTATTTTAATACCCTTTCTATAGAAAGATGAATACTAAATGTACTGGGATATCTACAAGTTGTTCCTGGAGAAGTGCTCCCTTGACATCTCCTACAGGAATATCTCTTATTGATCAGTTCATGTGTTATGAACAAACAAGAAGTGAGTGAAGGACACAGGAAATGTTTCCAGCTTTTCCTCCTCTATCAGACACTCTCTCCATACCTGAGAGTGTCCAGTCTCCAGCCTGGATCCTTCAGTCCAGCCAACAGGAGCTTCAATCCTGAGTCTCCTGGATGATTGTAGCTTAGGTCCAGCTCTCTCAGATGGGAGGGGTTGGAGCTCAGAGCTGAGGCCAGAGAAGTACAGCCTTTCTCTGTGATCAGACAGCCTGACAGACTGCAGACACACAAAACAACACTCCATCTGTCAACAATCATTTTCTCTTTGTCACATACAATAACACCTATCAATTTACATCCATTCAGTTTAATCTAACTTTACAACTGACAATACTGTACACACAACTAAAGTCATCTCATGTTGTTTAACAATGTATGGTAACAGCCAACAATATTAGAGAGAAAGCCCCAAGCCTGGGTTAACAGATGATTTATCTGTTAACCCAGGCTTTCTACTTCATGATCTGTGCACGCTCACATAACAAGGAGACCTTTAAACATCATTCACTCATTTCACTAAATGGATGGACTGAGCATGGCCTACAGATGAACTGGTGCTAGAGATCATAAAGAACATCAAATAAAACAGTCAAATTCAACACATTAGATGGAAATATGAGATTAATGCTGCATACTGTCATTAACCTGCTGAATTCATGAATATCAAGAATTCAGCGAGTGGTAAAAAATAAAGATTTGAACTGTGTGCTCAGTGTTACTGTCAATTCCTAACATATTTCCTAACATGATAGCTACACTTTAGAGCTCTAAAACTTGAACCTACACATATGCTAAGATTCAGGATTCAAGAATTTTATTGTTATATACACCGCAAAACACAAGTGGTTATGCAGAGCAATAAAATTCTTACTAATCAAGTTCCCTTCACGACTAGATATTCAACTAACTAATATACAGAATAAACTTAACTCTGAGCATAGAAAATAATAAACAAACTTATGTAGCATTCGCAGTGCAAGTAGTTAGGCAACACTGTCCCATTAGTAGATATTCAGGATATGTGGTATTAAATTTTTTTTATTGTATGAAGTTGTATTATATTGTATATAAATGTTCAAAATCGCAAATTTTGAACATTTCAAAGGTCTAAGATATTCACAGTTCAGCAATGAGTCAGTGATTCACTACCCTGATGGCGTTTGGATAGAAATTGTTTTTTCATCTGGTTGTCCTTGCTTTCACATTCCTCTAGGAGTGTGAACAGTATGTGCTGTGAGTGGGTGCAGTCTTTGATGATGTTGTGTCCCCATTTTCTGACTGAGGTGCTGTAATCGTCTTGACTTCTTTAAGTTGCTCGAAGACGTCATCCGAAACCTTAGCTGATTGTGACCAACACCCATTTTCACACCTTTGCTCATGTGATTAGGTAGAGGATCATCAGGGGGTCCTTTGTCCCTCCCTGTGGGGATACTTCCACGAGGTTTAAATCTGGGACTCTCCACTATTTTACCCTGGAACTGAAGAAGCTTCTCGGATGAGAGATGAAACGTCTTCAAGCAACCTAAAGAAGTCCAGACACTTTTCTTTTCAAGCTCCTTGGACTACGATGACCTGGATGACTGAGAACCTTCACAGACATAATCCACTCAGATGTAAATTAAAGTTCACTTCAAAAAGATAACCTGTTAATGCAGTAATATAAATAATATTTTAAATGATAATCTGTGGAAAAGTTTGAATCCTAACCTGAGAGTTTCCACTGTACACTGTGAACGCTTTAGTCCAGTAGACAGAAGCTTCACTCCTGAATCCAGCAGGTCAGAGTTACTCAGGTCCAACTCTCTCAGACTAGAGGACTGGGAGCTGAGAACTGAGGACAGAACTTCAAAGCTTCTATCTGAGAGGTTACAGCCACTCAGTCTGAGAAATAAAAGACAATCAATGAAACAATACTGTAAGGTGTGTTAATAGATTGTGTAATATTAAATCCCGTCTTGATAATTTTTCTTAAGGGAAAACTTAAGATACTAATCAACAACATTTTATGGATGAACTTGGATAAAATGCATTTAATTGGTTAATTCTGAAAAAACAAATTATCTTTTGATCTGACCTCAAAGTATTGAGTTCACAGTTTAAACTTTGTAGTCCAGCAAACAGAATCTTCAATCCTGAAACCTGTAGGTTTTTTATACTCAGGTCCAGCTCTCTCATACTAGAGGACTGAGAGCTGAGAACTAAGGACAGAGCTTCACAATTTTCCTCTGAGAGTTGACAGACATTGAGTCTGAAAATAAAAACATGAACAAAGACTGTTGTTAAAGTGTAATCAGCGTGCAATAACTAATCCTGTATTTTAAAGAATCCTTATTGTCTTCTTCTGATCAGGTTAGTAAAACTCCACTTTAACACAGAAATGACTAAAAATGCTAAGAAAGAACAATGAATAAAAGTTGTTTAATTTTGTCAGTTGATAAAAACAAACAAGCCAAATACAGAATACAAATTGATCTGACCTCAGAACATTCAGTTTGGCGTGTGGACTCTTCACTGAAGCAGACAGAAACTTTACTGCTGAATCATTCAGGCTGTTGGTACTCAGGTCCAGCTCTCTCAGATTACAGGACTGGGAGCTGACGACTGACAACAAATCTTTACAGCCGCTCTCTGACAGGTTACAGCTGCTCAGCCTAAAAAAAACAAAAACAAAAAACAAACAAAGTGTGCTACAGTTAGTAAAGTGCTGTTGGTCTCTTTCTTAAATCTAACTTACTGTAAATTCTTTAACCAGTCTCTTCCCCTTAGCTCACAGAGACACAGACAACCATTCAAACTCACACCTGCATAAAGTTTAGATCACCAGGAAACCTAATGCAATATATACACAGGCTGGTGATGGCAGCCTTACAGTTAGATATGGTTACTGACAAGAAACAGGACCTTAGAGGCAATTTCATTTATGAAGTCCACGTTTTTCCATCCATACTGGATACAATCAGGACAGTTGTATCAGAGATTTATGTTAAAAAGAAAAACAATAGAGAGCGAGAGAGGGATTGCACTGAAGGTGAGACACAAACCAAAACTTTAATGAAATCTCTTCCAATAACCAGATTTTAAAAATATTTTTAAAGCTGTGGTAGCCTATTCTTCTATTCAAAACAATATTTAAAAACTAAAGGGATCACCACATATTTCCTTACAGAGCTTTGTTGGAGGCTTTGACCACTGGCAGCAGCCTCAGAAGAGCCTCCTCTGAAGAAGAATATTTCTTCAGGTCAAACTCATCCAGATCTTCTTCTGATGACAGTAAGATGAAGACCAGAGCTGACCACTGAGCAGGAGACAGTTTATCTGTGGAGAGACTTCCTGATCTCAGGGACTGTTGGATCTCCTCGACTAGAGAACGATCATTCAGTTCATTCAGACAGTGGAACAGATTGATGCTTTTCTCTGCAGACAGATTCACACTGAGCCTCTCCTTGATATAGTGAACAGTTTTCTGATAGGTCTGTGAGCTAATTCCTGTCTGTGTCAGCAGACCTCGTAGGAGAGTCTGATTGGTCTCCAGTGAAAGACCCAGGAGGAAGCGGAGGAACAAGTCCAGGTGTCCATTTGGACTCTGTAAGGCCGTTTTCACAGCACTTTGGTGGAGAGATTGTAGTGTTGGTGTGTTAAATAATTTCAACAACCAGAAGGTTGGTTGTTTCACTTCCAGCAGATTGAGTCCAGAGTTGATGAAGGTCAGATGGACATGAAGAGCAGCCAGAAACTCCTGAACACTCAGATGGATGAAGCAGAACACCTTGTCCTGGTACAGTCCTCTCTCCTCTTTAAAGATCTGTGTGAACACTCCTGAGTACACTGAGGCTGCTCTCATATCGATGCCACATTCTGTCAGGTCTGATTCATAGAAGATCAGGTTTCCTTTGTGCAGCTGATCAAAAGCCAGTTTTCCCAGAGACTCCATCATCTTCTTGCTCTCTGGACTCCAGTGTGGATCTGTCTCAGCTCCTCCATCATACTTGACCTTCTTCACTTTGGCCTGAACCACCAGGAAGTGGATGTACATCTCAGTCAGGGTCTCAGGCAGCTGTCCTTCCTCTCTGGTTTCCAGCACATCCTCCAGAACTGTAGCAGTGATCCAGCAGAAGACTGGGATGTGGCACATGATGTGGAGGCTTCGTGATGTCTTGATGTGGGAGATGATCCTGCCGGCCTGCTCCTCATCTCTGAATCTCTTCCTGAAGTACTTCTCCTTTTGTGGGTCAGTGAATCCTCTGACCTCTGTCACCATGGAAACACAGTCAGGAGGGATCTGATTGGCTGCTGCAGGTCGTGTGGTTATCCAGAGGTGAGCAGAGGGAAGCAGTTTCCCCCTGATGAGGTTTATCAGCAGCACATCCACTGAGGTGGACTTTCTAGGGTCAGTTAGGATTGTAGTTTTGTGGAAGTCCAGAGGAAGTCGACACTCATCCAGACCATCAAAGATGAACACAACCTGAAAGTCTTCAAAGCTGCAGATTCCTGCTTCTTTGGTTTCAGCAAAGAAGTGATGAACAAGTCCCACCAAGCTAAACTTTTCCTCTTTCAGCACATTCAGCTCTCTGAAAGTGAATGGAAATATGAACTGGATGTCCTGGTTGGCTTTGTCTTCAGCCCAGTCTAGGGTATATTTCTGTGTTAAGACAGTTTTCCCAATGCCAGCCACTCCCTTTGTCAGCACTGTTCTGATTGGTTCATCTCTTCCAGGTGAGGCTTTAAAGATGTCTTCTTGTCTGATTGTTGTTTCTCGTCTGTCTGGTTTTCTGGATGCTATTTCAATCTGTCTGACCTCATGTTCATCAGTGACCTCTGCAGTCCCTCCCTCTGTGATGTATAGCTCTGTGTACATTTGATTCAGAAGGGTTGGGTTTCCTGCTTTAGTGATCCCCTCAAAAACACACTGGAACTTCTTTTTCAAGACAGATTTATGTTTGCAGTAACAATCTCCAGCTGGATGTTCTAAAGAACAATCGCAAAAACACAACATCAACAATCACTTCATTTTTTCATGACAGTTTCTGCCCCACTGAAATGACTGTAACCATGTTGTCCCATCTCTTGAAAGCAACATTTATCTCTTGTATAAACATTTTATTCAGCCAGCAGCTCATATCTTTAGCAAAATCTTCTTACTGCTCTGCAGACAGTCAGCCAGCTCCTCCTGCTTCATTCTCCTCATGAAGTCAAGTGTGATCTTCACAAATGCCTCTCTGCTGCTCCTCTGCTCATCATCCTCCCTCTGACTCTCTAAGCATTCTGGGTAATCTGGACTCAGAGTCTTCTGGATCTTCTTCAGCTCGTTCTTCACAAAAGTGATGATGTTGTCCTCCAGCAGCTGGAACGGAATACTTTATGAATGAGCCAATCAGACTGAAATCATGGAGCCAAACATCAGATCCATGTTGGACACACTGACGATCCACTGGTCTACAAAGAGCAGCATGGAGATGTCTTTGAACAGAATAGATGTAAAAGTAGCTGTTGTACATGTACAGACCATAAATATGGAGTCGAGGTGTGTTTGATGCTGCTGGGCAGACTGACCACTGGGAACCTCTGAGCTCTCCTGGTCATCCAATCTGATCCCGCTGACTTTTCTGTAAAAAAAAAAAAAAAAAGAGCATATTTAGTGAACGTCTGAAAATAAATTTTGTGACTAATTAGCATTTTTTTCCAGCAACATAAATTCATAAGTTCAGTAAATTATTTTTTCCCCAAACATCACAGCACAAAGGCTCTATTGAGCAAACCATCCCTTTAACATTAACTAGTAATGACTTCATGAACTTCTCCACAAATAAAATTTTTATCATTATAGAAAAAATTACCAATAATCATCCCACAGATGTAATATTATCTACAGCTACCTTTAGTACCATTGATGTTAAGTTAGACTCTTTTTCTCCAATTGATCTTTCTGAGTTAACTTCAATAATTACTTCCTCCAAACCATCAACATGTCTTTTAGACAGTGATGGGGAGTAACGGAATACATCTAACATTCTGTTGTTCCAGGTGGCAGCGTTACGGTTGCCATGGTTACAAGGCGACGCGCTCTGTCTGCGACTGTGTATTTCCTGGGTGAGAGAGCGCCTTTTTGTTGTTGTTGTTGTGCTAAGCTATGCCGAGCAGTTGGGTTAGCGGTGGTGTGTTTCTGTTGGAAAATAAATGGCTGTGCTCCCTGGAAACTTGGGGAAGCAAGACCAAACGACACCTCTGTCTCATCCTTGTCTGAGCTCGCCACAATATGTTTGGCTATACCCTCTATTTTTGGTAATTCCACGCCGGTGGAAACCCAAAGAAAACACGCATTAAGAAGCCCTAATACCTGTGTCTCAATCTCACGTCTCATAATGACATGAAGAAATATTTTTTAAAATGATTTAATATGAAAGCAATATGCAGAGTGTTACAGGCACAGCCCTAAAGAATGTAGCATCATAGGCAGTGTAGTCCGTGCTGCAGGGAGAATGGACTGTCATACCCTTTATGTGTCTGCGCGAGGAGAGAGAAAAAGGAGAGTGGAAAAGTACGAGTTGTCATCGAGCAG